ACTCAACGATTGATTTAAAATGATCTCTTCATTGAACACTAGCAGTTCTCAATGCTGTACGGTATGGACGAATGCGTACCCGGCTTACACTGGTAAGGCTTCCTCAATGTGGACTGCACACATTGAGCGCTTTGCTTTAATCACCACCTCTCTGCTTGCTGTTTGTAGAATCTGGAGTCCCGATTAGAAACAACCAAATCCCAACTGGCTGTTGCGAAGAAAAAGACCTCTCGGGATACAAAAGCTATCCGACAGCAGTTGGAGGCGGAGACTGAACGTGCGACGAAAGCGGAACAAGCTATGCATGAGATGGAGACCAAGCTACAAGAGACGCAACAGCAGCTGGCGACCCAGCGTCAGCAGATTGAGGTAACTGATTAGGTCCATTTTGCATTTTTATTGCTTCATACTTCTCTCCTATCCTCTGTGATCTTTACTGATTTCACGGTTCTTTTTGCCATAGAATTTAATATCATTGTTGCTTCTAGAATACCGTTTATCGCTTGCATTTGGTATAGCATCACATTGCCTGCGTAATCGGGTCATGGTTGCTGAATGAAACGAAACGGATCTCACCGAGGTCCCTCGCTACCGATTTTAAGTATCACGGTCAGGCTTTTCCGGATACTTGGAATGATCACTGGTCTTTTCTGCGCGCATCAAGTGCGTTGAGTTCCGGGTCGGAGCCGGTGCATTTCACCTTGGGTTTAACCGGAAAATTATGGGATATAGCTTTTATAAGGCACCAACGACCTCTTTACTGCCACGTCACCTGGCTGTCCGTGTAAAGTACTGTCAAGTGCGCATTCATCGTTTCCATCAAGATCCGAACCCAATGACTGATACCACTGAGTAGAATGAAATGCAGATCTCGATTTTGAGGTGATTTTGGCATTGGGACTGATAACGTCAGTGGTTGGATACCATATGGGACATAGTACGGTCACATATCAAATGGTACTCCTGCATTCGGTTTCTTGCACCAATTCGCTAATATTCCATGCCGAGCAATTTAAATAATTTTTTCCAAGCCAGCTTTTTATTGTATTCATTTTCCATCCCATTCTCTCCCACGGTTGTTATTCTTATTATCATTCTGGCGACGCGAGTCGTGTCAACTAGATCCACAACACCTTAATCCTCGTATCATAGTAGTTTGACCTAGCCGAATGGAAGGTACCTGAAAGCTTCGCGGGAACACCTAGCTCCCTTGACGTTCCGTTTGGATCACGTTTCATCTCAGTATCCGGTCCACTTTACTTCGCTCCTAATTCCATTATGATTGAACTGTTTCCCATTCTCTTCGACTTTATTTTTACATTTTCTATTCCATAAATGGACTATTCGTGCCTTCTCTTGTTCCTCACTCCAGGAAAGCGAGCTCTCATTATCCCAGCAGCTGGAGCGAGTGCGTCTCAATTACACTGACCTGTTGGCACAAAAAGAGGTACGTCTCCGTCGCGTCCAGCGTCGGTTCTCCTTCCTGTTCCGTTGCACTCTGATGTGTGCTACTTTCACTCTGGTGTACGTATTTTTCGCGCTCCCCTTTTTCTGCGCTGCATTTTCCCTTGCGATTTGAGGGCATGCATATTGTCTGTTGCGCACGTCATTGGTACGTTTCCTCACGCTCACTTTCTGTACTGGTGCACATTACAGTCATTAGCAGCCGGGTTAAACTTTGTGACCTAACGGCGAATTTGTCCAGCTGTGCCCTGAAACACGTTGTGCAGCTGTACTAAATTTAGGCAAAGTGCGCAACCTTAATATTGCGGAACACGCAAAGGGATGCATAGAGGCTTAACGGAGGTCATAGATGCGTTTGATAGCTGACCGCCGGTCCACGGCGGCTTGGAGGAAACCGTTTTCTTATTCTCCTGTCACAGTTCTCGCCACCCCGCACCACACACGCACACACTACTCAGAAAACTTTGAGACAATAACGGCCACAGCTCTGTTGATTGCGGCCATTTCCCCAGTCTTTAAACCAAGTGCAGGGTGGGTTTGGAAAGTTGGGACTGACCAAAGTACTCTAGTGGTTACCGGCCCCGTGTCAGAAAATTTCTGTTTCCATCGACGTAACGTTGTCCTAACATCCAGTAAATAAGGCATATCTCAACAGATGGAACTTTGATGTCACCTGCCAAAAAACGTTGCACCTCACGACTGTTTTTGAACATGTTTGCTCTCATCAGCTTTTGCTCACAATCTGTGGTGTAGATATTGGGCCATCGAAATCATGCCGGAATTGAAAAACAGACAAGAATAAGAAAAAATGACATGCGACTTTTTTGTCCACAGCTTTTGCGTTTTTGCTTTGTGTGTTCTATCAGGGAATAGGAAAAAGAATCGCTGCAACACGCAGAGATGCACGTCCGTCATTGACCTCGGTTTTGCGCCATGACTTCCTGGGTCTCCAACCAGCGACACTTCGTAGCTCTGAAATCCTAACGGGAGAGTCGAGAACATCCGACCGAGGCCAACTATATCGTCAGCTTTTGCATGCCGCTTCTCCAAGTCTTAGGTTGTCCGCCACGCCGCTTTTACCACCCCTGTCCAACAACTGGGAACAACGCCCGATGCGGAAGGCGATGAACTATCATACAGAATACCTGTCCAAGTCACCACAACTGATACAGCGGTTCGAGCTCCTCGAGTGAGTGCTTGCTTCCACATCAGACTCACTGTTTCATCTCCCCAGTGGTTATGTAGTGCACCACTCACACACGGGCAATGAACCGCAAGCAACGGTGCTCGAAAACAGGCAATCGGCGCAGTTCAACGGTACGAACAGGCCAAGTCTCGCAACCGTACAATAGTACAGCGCGGACAGTCGCACAATAAACGCACCCTTTGATGGATAGACGGCTGTCATGGCGGCGCCACAACTGCCTCAGCTTAGCGAAAGTGAGGCGAGCTCTTGAGATACGCGTCGAAATCTCATTTCCAACAACTTCACTAGCAGTGATGCAACTTCCCAGCTAGACAAAACTCCGTAACATCCATCGCCTCATCATCAAGAGTAAGTGCAGGCACAGGCATCTGAAAATCTCGGAAAAGAGCTTTGCATTTGGATGGGGAAAAAGTCATCCCAAACTTTTACACTTTAACCGCTAAGCGTTTGCGTACAACTTGGACGGCCTGTGGACCGTCACCCAGCAAGACGATATCAACAGCCTAGTCCACATCACTAACTCGGCTACCTGCGAGGAGCTCAACGGATCTTCTAGAGCACTTTTTGAGGACATCCTCAATGGCAAAATAGAAAAGTGATAGGGCATCCTTGCCGAACTCCACTGGTGACAGCAAAGGAAGGCGAAAGCTTGTTATAAGTCCTAACTCTACCCGTGGTCCGACTCTACAAAGTATGCAGTACGGAAACGAACTCCCCGGGGATGCCATTCCTCAACAGACAGTTTCATAATGCAGTCCTTTCGACAGAATCGAAGGCAGCATGAATATCCAGGAGCATGGCGATCGTTGGCCCTCGGTACACGTGGCATAGCTCGTGGGCCTACCGGGGTGTGAAAATTTGATAGATGCAGCCGCGACCAGGACGGAACCCAGCCTGTTCTTCCCGCTTTAGCGATTCGCGACCTTGAGGATAGCCTGCGAAGTATGATTGGTATCGGAAGTTTGCAGACCAAGCTGATTAGCTAGAGATAGCTTGCTTCTCTAATTTGAATTAGTCATGTGACAAGATTCCTAACATGTGTCCGAGTCAGCAGTACTTACTCGGAGCATCATTTTGTAATGATCACCTGTTCGCCGCGGGTGCACCATTCCCTCCCAACACCATTGACGCTCATTGAGCGATGAGGGCCAGGGATCTAAAGGAACCGCTATAGACGGGAGCGGTTCTCACTGTGTTCATGCCAGCACGGTTTTAAAATCCAGGGACGCACCCTTCCTGTGTAGCGGATGTTGCAGCTCCATCAAGGCATCTCTTGCTTTCGCGGTAGGTGAGCTGATCCTCGCTCACATACGTCGAATCTAACGTGGCTTCCAAAACAGAGAAATTGCTCAGTTATTGTCAGTTCATAAATAACAAGAGTCCTTGTGGAAGCAAGCGATTGGTACTTCTGCAAAACACACTTTATCCTTTTAGGGCTATATACCCATACCAAGAGATGGGTCACTCCGAAGTGTTTGTTTAGAGTCATTCGAGAGACGTTTTCATCAGCAGGATATCTGCATATTGCGGATCAACCGTGACTAGCTCTGAATGCTTGTGTCACTTCTCCCAAATTCACCATTTCATTCTGCCTTAACACGGATGAACGACTATGCGCGATCCTTGACATTCCAAACTGAACGTCACTCTGATTCGCAGTGGGTAAACATCGAACTCCCTGTCGTTCTCGCACACCACTGTCTTCAACAGCACATCCACCGTTTTCATACCCGGCATTTGCAGCTAATCGTCATACAGTATACGTCCTACAGACGTACTCTACCCTATGTTGAAATCAACCTTTCCACCCTAATGTGATTTTGTTACAAACTGGCCAACAGGTAGCACTTGCTCGAACACTAGTGACTCCGACGATCAATATCTGCTGCCTATCGGAAACCGTCCTACAATATTCGAGCTCTGTGCTTACCCTGCGATCCCCCACATGCCACACTGACGACACTTTCTCATTGCGCTTGTCCGAACATGGTGCAGTTTCAAATGCCGGTTAAGGCGGTGTGGGCATTACTGAGTCCCCGGACTGAAGTTGCCTTGACCGACTGGATCCCAGTCAACAGCCGGATGTGCCCTGTCAGATTGGCTGGTTCATTCAGAGCATTGCAGTCCCTTGTGCACAATCGGTGCCTGTTTCTCATTACAGCCACAAATTGTAGCGTTGACTCGGTGAAAGACGAGTTCCATCACCAAATTTAATGCGCTTCTTCGTTCCAGGAAATGTACGGATACTGTTGTGCTGTCTACTGATTTGAACAGCAGTTCGATCAGCCACAGTTACCATCTTCTTTATGGCCTATTGATCGCCCTTCTCCCTGGGCCATCCCTTTGGATCCACTCTCACGCGCAGAGGTTTAACGTAAGATGAGACTGTTGACATTGAATAAGGCCGCAAGAGCAGGTAGACCTCCCCCAGCTCTCTTCAGTTTCAGTTGTCCTACTCTTTCAGATGATTTGCATAACTTGCTTGTGAAGCTCTGGGAGCAGCAGACTGGAGCCGCTCCATTATAGTCCCAATTTTCAAGGGAAGCTCACGTTCAGATTGCGGTAATCATAGTGGGATCAGTCTGATTTTACTTGCTTCTAAATTGCTTGCCTCTGTCGTCCGCCATCTACTGACTGACACTCGTGAAAGTCAGGATCGTGAGGAGCAATCTGGATTTTCTCGAATCCGCAGTTGCATTGACCACACCTTACGCCAATTGTTGGAACACAGTCATATTTACTGGCGATCCACTGTGGTCGTATTCCACAATATCAAAGATGCCTTCGGCTCTGTAGATCGATGTGCCTTTTGTGACTGTCTGCTCAGGAAAGGCATGCCCGATAAATATGTACACATTATCGAAGCGCTTTACGCACATACTTTTGGCAGAGTGAGGGTTTGTGGCACACTTTCGCCGTCCTTCAGTATCATCAGTGGTGTGAGACAAAGTTGCCCGCTGTCAACTTTCCTTTTTTCACTTCACTATCGACGAATCTATCTAAATGTTATTCACTGGATGCGGTTTAGAAGGTGTGCAACTGCTTCCTGGTGAACGACTTCTTGATTTGGAGTATTCTGACGACATTGCCCCGCATCTGTGACAACTCCCAAACGTGCCAAGCAGCACTAAATAGATTAGGACTATCAGTCATTTCAGGCGATGCTTTGCACTCTCGAAAGGAAAAGTTTTCCTCACAGGTTGACAGTGACTGCCTCCTGGGCTGACGCTTGATAGTAATCAGTTAGAAGTCGTCCAGAAATTCAAGTAACTTGGTACCTATATTAGTGCGTGTGCAACAGAAGATACCACAAGCCGTATAACAAAGCTCGAGCTTCTTTTGCGAATCTTTGCTGGCTGTGTCATCGGCGCAACATCGCTCTCGCCCTGGGGCGCTTAGTTTATAAGGCAGTCGTGCGTTCAACTCTCATGTAGGCTTGCGAAACCTGGCCTATCCAATCGACCGACACAAAGTGGCTTGTCGCGTTCGATCATCGCTACCTTCGAACTTGTATGTATCTGGCGTTAGCAGTGAGCGTTTTCGGCGTGGCGTATTTGATGCAGGAAGAGCGAGTGAACCGTTCAGCACCGTTATATCACGCACTTGGCTCTGATGGCTGGGTCACGTGTTGCGATTACCAGCACACCGACTCTCACCACGTGCGTTTTTTGCACGCCCAGGTTGTTGACGGAAGAGAAAGTGGGGAGGCCAAGCGATGACTACTTGGTCAGGAGGAATGAGGTCGCTCACTTCGAACTTGGCGTTGGTTGGTGTTATAGCGGTGGTAAGAAAACTCCACCACTCCCGTTGTTTTGTGAATTTGCTCCACTCACCCCTATTCATCCCGCCCTCTTTTACGGTTTCCCGCGTACGTTTTTCTCTTGTCTCACATTTGTGACTAGCTTGTGTTGACACTGAATTTTATGCTTATTACTTTTTCCCTTATTCTCTTTATTTCCGTCGTTCGTGAGACACCGTATCGATCCTTCAACCCTGGAATGACCAGCCTTGCTTGAACGAATGTCAGTTTTTCTGCGTAGAATTTGTATATGCCCTGATTTGAAGTATTCCATTGATTTGCATTCACGGACGCTTGATGGCCGCTTTAATGTACGGCGTATAACATAGTTTTTCTGCCGGAAATCCGTCGTTGTGGCTCCGACACAGTATTTCGGGCGACGGCGTTTTGAGCAAACATGTCCATCTCATTTGAACAGATGCAGTCCCTCCTCCAGCACCAGCAATTACATTTTGAAAAGTCTCAGCGCGGTTTATGATTACCTTGTGTTTTGGATCATTTCTCGGGAGAGTATAGCTCTTCGGACTAGTGGATCTGCCTGGATCCACTTGCATCCAACACCAAGGTGTTTCGGACTCAGGCCAAGTGTACAATGTTGTTCGTTCGAGTAAGTAAGTAAGTAAATTGCCATCTGTACGCCGTAACGGCGCTTCGCTTCCACACGACCACCACCAGTAGCGCCTGGGCTGAGTATACCGCGAGGATGCCCGCCCCTACTCGGATTCGAACCGGTGACCTTATGTTTGCAAATCAGACGCGCACAGCACAGAAGTATTCGGTACATATGTTCCCTTTAGTGCAAGACATGACATCATTCGTTGGATCACTGAGAAAGTATAAATTCTGGATTCCTTCCACTTCGGACCGATTAATGTCTGTGCCTGAAACTAGTAAATGGTTTCCAGGAGTTGCAGTTCCTTGAGTTTATGTTCACAGGTGATTACTCTGTCTGGCTTTAACTGTACCCCTGGTGTATTTCGGGCCATGAGTTTTGTTGATTTCACCGACGACATGTCAGGTTTTGTCCGTGTCGATCAACAGAGGCTCTTGATAGCAGACACTGTTTGTGCCTGTAGTCACACCGGAACATTACCGTTTTTCACTGTCAAGTGTCTGTGCAAGACATGACAGTTGGTGTCTCCCAACTGCCCGGCTGGGGACCGAATGACGATGAACACGTTTGTTTGGGTGATATGGCGAAGAGTTGTCCTCATTGGCGTTTGTGTTGTAAGTTTCTTTCTCCCTCCGCTTCGCGCATATCATTCCTCTTTAGAAATGATCTTCCACTGCATGGTTACTATGACTCTTAGTATTATGTTACTTACTTGTTATTTTTCATATTCTTAATTTTTAGTATCTCTCTTTACATATCCTCTTTTTTACTGCAACACATTTAGCTTAAGTATATTTCTTGCCTTCAGCTAACGTGTAATGGTAATGCTACTCTTCTGTGATTGCCTTGTGGCTCGTAACCTCTTTTGCCTGGATACGCAACCTGACTACAGTGCGCTAATACCAGGGAGTATTCGTGTTAAATAGCCGCATCTACGCCGACACCACAGGTCCACGTGATTCAATCTTCTGTCCGTAATCGCATGCACCTGCGCTTTCAGCGGAGATCACAACTCTTCATTACTTTTCCCTCTGTCTTGTATATTTCTACGTCTAGCGATGGGAACAACAGCAGACTACCTTACAGAGCGAAAAGGACCGATTAACCCGGGAATACGAATGCATGAGGACCAAACACTCGGTAAGTTGTCTTTGCTCTCCTTTGCTTCTGTTCTGCGCAGAAATACAGTGCGCCTTGTTCGTCGTCGTGCGCCGGTGGCTCCGCCAATTTTGGCCACATCTGATCTGTGTGATCTGTCGGATTGGCTGATCCATCTCATGGCGTTTTGAATGTTGTCTATTCGTCCCCTTCGATCTCTATGTACCTGCGCTTAGTTACTTTGACTTTCTTGTCCACAGGGGTGCGAGTATTGCTCTGCCGGTTATCTCAACCCTGACTCCCATCCGTTTCCTAACCATTCCCTCCACATGACTGTTCGGCTTCTGGACCGGTTTAACCTGATCTATGAATCACGGGCTGTCTATGTCCCCACTTAGAAGCAAACGCAAGCGAATGCCTTGCTATTTGTATGATTAATATCATCACTTAAGCGTATTGCCTTAGCTATCATTGAAGAGACATGTGCCCTATATGCTATAGACCGTGTTCTGAAGTATGAAGTGTCCTTATATCACATCAGAAATTGGATGAACATTGATATTAAGTTCATGGTTATACGTGGGTTGGTTTGTAGCGATGAACAATGATTTATCACGGATGAAATAGCATGTGCTTGACAAGTCCCGTAGGATGATTGGAGTAAAAATTAAAATTTGATGGATTATCGAATAAGTAACTGGTTATTTCAAACGTCCACCGAGTTAAATGCACTACTGCATAACTATAGTTTGAAGTGGGAATGGGATGTTCACACACAAAATAGTGTAGAAAGCTGTTATAGTTCAGTAAGTGCGTGAAAAATAAAAAAGGAAACGACAACGCTCACTCGTTTGTTTCTTCATTTGACAGATGTAGCGTGTTAATCCAGTTTAGGTACATCCAGGCTACTCACATGGACACTACTGCATGTATCCTCACCGCCACCTTGCGGAGAGGACCGTTAATCACATGGTTACGTTTGCGTTGTTTCGTCCTCCAAGTGGAATGGACTATCTCAAGTAATGCAAGTTGGAAAGCGTTTCGTCAATACGTTTTTTGAATAGCGTTAATGTAGGGGCAAGGATAGTGTGAGTTGGAAGAGCATTCCAGGCACGGGACACACGGAGAGAGAAAACGTTTCGTCGACAATCAAGTCAACTGTAATGCGTAGTCAGTTTGAGCTGATGACCTCTCAGGTTGGTATTTTGGCTCAGCGGCAACACGTTGCGACCTGGGTGAGTTGGGTTCGTCAATATTAAGTGGACCATGATTAGGTCTCCTCGCTAACGTCGATATTCACCACTGTACAATCTCAGGGACTACGAGTTTGGTCGCTCTGTGTTGTGGAGCTTCAAGTGCATCGACGTCGCGCTTGCACTAGGGACGCCAGGCCTTTATCGCATATTCCACGTGAGGTGTCACGTAGGCGTTCAGCATTTGCGGAAAGATTGATGGCTCAATATTCCCGGAAGCCCACCGTAAGAGTCTAAGATGTTGACTGGCTCTTTTTGATGCTTTTTCAGCCTGTCTCGAACAACCAAGATCGTACTACACGGTCCCCCTGAGGTCGTCTTCTTGGGAAGCACGTTGTTAAATAAGCTAATGACGTATGCTTACGACTTTGCACTTGGTCACGTTGAACTGTAGCCGGTTGTTTGATGACCACGCATAAGCCCTGTCGAGGTCGCTCTGCAATGCCATGTGATCATCCGATGTCCTGGTGCCATGCCAAATTTTAACATCGCCTGCAAATTTTAAACAATTCGACCGCAGTACACCAGCAACATCTTTAATGAATGTGAGGAATAGACGTTGCCCCCGTACTGATCCTTAGGGCACACCACACTGGACGTCAATTGGTTCGGAAATAGAGCTGCGGACTCTGACATTCAGCTGACGTGAACGAGGAAGTTGCCGATCCAACCAAGTATAGGGTCACCGATTCCATAGCTTCGAAGCTTGTGAAGGAGAATTCGATGGTCCGAACGCTCGAACGCTTTCGAGAAGTCCAGGTACACAACGTCGACTCCCACTCTGGCATCGGCTGACTCCGTCCAGCTTGCTCGGGCTAGTAGCAAGTTTGTGGTGCAGGATCGATTTCGGCGGAATCCGTGTTGCTGTGACACTAGGATGCTGTTACTCTCAAGATATCCCTTGAGTGCTTCTGCACCTATACGTTGCATTACTTTGGATAAAAGTAGAAGGAGAGTGATTGGACGGTTGTTCGAGGGCTCCGAAACATTATCACTTCTATACATAGGAGTGACTAGTCCATGTTTCCACATTGTGAGAACTTACATTTCGTCCAGACAACCTTGAAAGAACCGAGCTAATGGTTCGGCAAAGTTCATGGCCGCTGTCTTTAAGGCCTTCGGTTTGATGTCGTCCACGCCAGGTGAGGTGTGCACGCGCAACGACATTAGCGTTTTCATCACATTGGCTGCCGTAAACGAGATGTGGTTTAACCCTGGTGTTGATGGATGCTGTGTCAAAATAGGATGAAATGATGATTCACTCCGGAAAGTATGGATGAACTGTTGGTGAAGCACGTTGGCTGCATCTTGTGCGGTTTGCGCATGACCATCTGTTGCACGTAAAACTGGGATACCGCGCTGCACTCTGTGGAGCTTGTTGACGTGTTTATACAGCAAGTTAGGATTTGTACTGAATTTCGCCGTTAAGTTCTGTTGGTGCTGGAGTTTGTCTTCGCGGATCAACTTGACGCAGTGGTTTCGTTGAGTTGTGTAAGCACCCCAGTTCAAGTTACTTGGACAGACCAGGCGCGCCAGACTGAATCCCTTAAGGTCATGCATTTTCTAGTACGGCTCCTCAGGAACGAGTTCATTCGCTTCGGGCGAAGGACCTTGTTTCTTACGCATTTGCCGCTAGCTCAGTGAATTGGATGACGAACAGCATCCAGGCGACATCGGGCGGCTACTCGGCCAAGAAGGACCAGTCGGTTTCTTGAACGATGTTGGACAGTACGTCGTAATGTGTAACAACATAGGTTTCCTCCTTGTTCTCACTGATATACTCCGAATACCAGATGTAACGAAATAGCAACATCGCGTGATCGCTACGGGCAAGTGGTTCATCTTTGGTCACCGTGTCGACCATTAGTTCCTCATTGGAGAGCACGAAATCCAAAACGGAGGGTGTGTCACCCGTTTGGAATCTCGTGGGAGAGGTGCTATGGTTGTACAGAGGTACATCGGCGATCACCTTTTGCAAATCAGCCTTGAATTGTTCGCTGTGCGATGCTGGAACTTCGACTGCATGCAGCTTGAAGCCCCCACCAGAAGGACGTGGCTGTATGGTCGTGTCAGGACTCGTTTCGTCGCAGAAGCTAGGCATTTTTTCCATTTCCTAGGTGAACATTGGAGGGAGGTAAACTGTTGCTGGTAAAAGCACATCACCACGTCTTAGGTGCATACAACACCAAAGAGAATCGATGACTTTCCTTTCTGGGTCCCCAACTATATCCACATGAAGGTCGGATCGATAATACAGAACCGCTCCCCCTCTGCTAGGTCGATCGTTTCGTATGGAAGTTATGCCGGGTAGTGCAATCTCAGCATCCATGATCTCCGTGTTCAGCCATGTTTCGGTGACCATAACCAGGTTCCAAGGCGCGGCGACCTGACGAATACGAAGTTCGATTAACTTGCTGAGAAGACCTTGTACATTGGTACACAAGCAAGTGAGGGCATCGGTGGTCAGAAGCGTGTTTGTGAATGCTATTTTCCGCTGAGGGTATGTGCCAACACTTGCGGCGTCGGCTGCCGGTCGTATTTTTATAGGACCGATGACGCAGCCCCTAAAGCCAGTTCAGGTTGTTATGTAGAGCTCTCAGCGCCAACAAGAGGGTGACCATCCTGTTCTCCTTCCGCTGTCGATGTGTTTTGACATTGTCTCCGTTCTGAGCTACACGGTGACAGAATTGTATTGGTAAGTAGCTTGCTCTGTGTTACCTTGTCTATCTGTGTCCCGGTGCCTTTCGCCTTTATACGTATTTCGGATGGCAGCATTTTACACCTTTTGTGCCACAGTTTGATTACATGTTCTGCCATCAGTTCGGAGTGCAATGTTACTTTCATCACTCGGGGACCACACGCTTTATAGTTAGGTGATATCGGTAACCTTAATTTTGAATTAGCGATAACATTTTCGAGTAAGATCACTACACGAACATAACGCCATTCATCCCAGTCATGCGTTTTCGCCTCCAGCTCGATTAATGTCTGAAACTGGGGACACTGTGAACAAGGATAGATTTTGCGTCTTGTTGTTTACGCAAGTCATCCGGATTTTGTTTTGCGTTTCTGGCGTACGCTCCAAGCAACATCTGGAAATATCCGAACAGTGCATGTCGTGGTACGGAGGCGAGTGGCTGACAAGAGAACTGCCTCTGCATCATTACCTGACTGAAGTGTTAACTGGAGTAACCGCGGTTCACCGTAGTGTACGAAGTTTGGGTGACGGACGAGACGCATCATACTGACTGATTTTTAGCTTGAACCCCCATTAGATGACACAGGGAGTCCCACTGTTTTTTCTCGTTTAGTATATTATCTTTTATGGTGTTCGCCCCGGATTCAGTCACATTAGAGCATGTAACAGTTAGAGAATTATGGTAATGTTTCATGTTCTCCTTTGTGGATGGACCAGTGGCTGCTTTCTTCGGTTGGACAAGTGATGGTGTCTTGAATCCCGTGGTGGTATTAGCAGTAGTAACTCGTTTGGCAGCCGGGCGTTGTTGCGATGGGAGGTGCCCCTGTCATATGGGTAGCAACAGCGGACGCGTAGGTTGTCGGTCCTTTAACAGTGTTTAGTGTGGCGGGTGATTCTGTTGAAGAATGTGTGGCGAAGGCATGTTTATGAGCAGCCGCTAGTGTCGGGGTGGCTAACTCTGAAGCGTTACTCTTACTCTATTCTGAATTGGAGCTTGATTTTGAGCATCGACTTTGAAGCACTGATTTGTCTGGTTCATGTGGGACAACTTTCACGGCTGCTGCCTGCTCTACAATCTTCGTCAGCCTATCGCAGTTCTGCGCCAACACTGTTATACATTTGGCGAGTGTAAGAAACGTACACTCAGTGCAGAACCAGAGAGAATCGGTCGTACTATTAAGTTTTTTTTATCTGACTTAGACTAAGGCGAACACATCGAGAATGCAAGTATTTTCAGCAGTTTCTGCATTTTCTTTCAAATCGCACCAGTTTGACACACATATCTACGCCACAACTAACGTTTTACTTCGGAAGCTTTGGGCTTAGCTTTTTTTAGGCAAGCAGTACGTGCCATTGTGATTATCAGATCTGCGGAAGTCGTTCGTTGCAACGTCTACACTGGTGAAGGATTGTGATCCTCTGAGACTGGCCAAAAATACTGACCGCTGGCAGCCTGTTTGGCACGAATAGTAGCCACCCAATTTGTATGTCAAGCAGACTGAACTCTAACCATTCACTGATCTGACAAGTGCATCTCTTAGTTAACCTCAGCTAACCACTAAGGATAACTCACCTTCGAAGAGATTCCTAGATTGTTTCACCACACGCAAGTCCATTCTCGTCGCTACAGTGCTGCGTCTGTCGCTAACTTTACTGGTTTGGACAATTGTGGGGATTTCACAGATTTCACTATTGATCATATCGCAGCTCGAGTTGTGCTGTTGTTCTTGCTGTGTTCTGGCGCCATGGATTGCAATCTGATCAACATCCTAATGGTCAACTTCTCCATTAAGCAACTATCCAACCTGCTCGCCAGCCGATGCCGACTGTGCGAACCCGACCCCGCCACCCATCAGTTTTGGTGATGGGACCGCATTTGCGACCGTGCCCATCTACCCACGCTCTACGAAAACTTTTCATCTCTGAATCATTTCATCATCTGCACGAGAACCAAATAGGCTGACTGGCTATTCAGACGCCATCAGTTTGTTTGTTGCGCGAGAGTGGAACGCCACTACTTGACCGCCAAATTAGGTTTGCCTGAATCGTAAAATGGCATTTGTTTGTTATACATCAGACTTTTGCATCGTTCCACTGACAAGTAAAAACCAATGGTATTAGCACTCAGTCCAACGACTACGCACGCTTCCAAACTGTCAGCAAATCCTCGTGGGCGAAGCTCCTACATTGCCGCGCCCATAATAATAATAATAATAATAATAATAATAATGTATCAGCTGTACGCCGTGACGACGCTTCGCTGCATTGCGACCACCGCCGGTCGCACGCGGGCTGGGTAGACTGCGAGGACGCCCACCCCTACGCGGATTCGAATCCGCTCTGCGAGACAACGAGATAGGCTCTTTACCTCTAGGCTACGGACTGACTAATATTAATCTTAGCGGTCCGTTTGCGACACAGGCTGGATGACTTCGATCTAATGTCAACTGATTTTTCGTTCCATTCCGTTCATGTTGTTCCGTACAGCTTATCAGATTTTTGCTGTTACTTTGATTATTTGTGTTTCCGCATCATTGGGACGACCGTCCTGCTCTTAACCAGATGATCACCATCTGACTGCATCTCTTCTCGAGTAGTTCCATCTGAATCGTTTGGATACCTCACATCAACTAACAAGGCTTTCATTGAGCTCGCCAAGGAGCTTTCCTGTGTTTGCACGCAAGTTGGGTGGGTCGGGACTTCACTTTCTCCCCATTTCCCCTCAACTTTGTTCTCAAGCGGATAACGTATGTAGTTTTCTCACCTTTACTGTGGTGAGCGGTCTGTTTTGTAACCACTTGTCAAACTTTGATAGCACGCACGATATAGTTCTAAATCGGCTGACGCGTAGCACTGCAAACTTTGGCGTGTGCTTTGTCTCTTCGAAGTACGCATGGCTTTTATCTGAGTCTCAGTTCTCGCTATCGCCGTTCATTCACTCAGCGTAGTGGATCGGTTTGCGTGTCGGAGCAACTACATGTAGTCCTAAGTCTCGTCAAGGTAGTATATGTGAATATTTTTCTCTCGTTTTTCGCATGAGTCTAGCACAGTATTATGAACTGGGGTCCAATTATGGATGCTTTTTCTTTGGGACATAGTTCATGCTTTTGAAAGATACTTCAAAGTGATTCCAAAACAAACTTAAAGAAAACTGGTTGTCGCGAATCACATGCTCAAACTTCAGAAGACGAGGAAGGTTGTCGGTTTCGTGAAGTACAAAACGGAAAAAGCCACAAATATTACACTGGTGCCTTGTTATTACTCACTGAAGATGCCTCCTCAATTTTTGATAAAACCTTTGCAATCCAATTGCTCAGCTCGGAGAAGCAATCGAGACTTCAGCGTTCGGGAATGTCTCCCACTCATCTTTCTGGGCTTACGACGGCCTCCGATAAGATAAGACGTATGAAACAACAATGTCAATACGACAAATTCATCTACAATGACACGCATATCTAAGACAATAGTATTTGCTATTATAATCACAATGACCATGACGAAAATATTAAGGGGAAAGGGAGGGGATATGTGTAGAGGTAAGATATGAAGAAAGAATTTGCAAACTCAGAATCTGGAAACGAGAAGATGATTATGCTTAGTAAATGTTAAGAGACGTTCCCATCCACGCGCAGACTCAGTCAAGAAATTCAATAAGCTTTTCCCTCGCCTCCAAACATAGTCTCGACTGAACGCTGCGTGCATTCTTTTCGGTTGACGGCCTGTGGATGTGACATATCTGCTGTTGGGTTCGCTTCCGATTTCGGGCATTGAGGAAGCCATTGCCACTGAGACTTATAACTGCCGACTACCCTACTTTAATACTTCAACCGTTTGCTTACTCTTTGAACAGGCGTTCACTTAATCACCGCGTTACTCCTACTGCTTTTATACAGCCGGCACATTTTGCGGACACAATTTTCTGCGTTGTTTGTTTTCATTTATGCCACCTGTATTGTTCGATTTCGTCCGACTTTTCGGACACTAGCACTACCACGTGGCAAAACATCGGTCATCTGGCCTTAACTGTTATTCTCTCTACCATTGGGATCGTCTGCGTGTACAAACTAAGCAGAAACTTTGACTAATTTCCAGCAGTCTCGCTGTTATTCGGCTCACTCATACACCATACACATCCACGAGTGCTGAAGAACTATTTCTTCTCACCTTTACTCATAAAATGCGCGCGTTAGCCAGAGAATCCTTACTACTCTCAATTAACCCATTGGAATATGGGCGGCTATTAGCTAACTCACCGACCTGAAGCGTCGTTCACAGTGTGTCTGCTTAATTTGTGTCTACAGTCGGCGATTCGTAAATTTCAACCTTGCACATTGAAGAGGAACCTGTGGCACTGGGACAATCGGTACTGTGTAATAGTGTCTATCTGTGACGATTCTGCTTAAAACTTTTCGTTTATATACCCCTCTTTGCAGACGCAGTGGACTTAGCGATGGCCTGAGATCTTGCTAATTTCACTTTTCTCGATGCTGTTTTCCACCCCACCTCACAGCCTAATTTTGTATTCTGCTGTTTAGCAATATCTCAGCTATGTACTCACTCCATTTCGAATCTTCTTCCACACTTCTCAACTTGACTATGTTGACACTGACTAATTGGCGTGCGAGTTTGTTCGGGATCACTATTCAGTCGACCGAGTTCAGCACGTTCGACTCTTGAAGTGCCAAAACCTTCTCATCGTCTTCTCGTCTCCGTTCCTGTTTCCGACATCCAGCTTCTATGCCAAATGGTTTCCCCTTCTGCACGCGATACCCATACAGCAGTTTATCTAGATTCGCTTTTTTATGGCTTTGGCATCCACATTATACAACGAACTGGTAATGTTTCTCACTTTTATCCCAGTTTTCTCGAAACGGGTTGCACAGAAACACTGTTTTCTCTTGTTATTCTCATCACAGGCGTGTTTAGTGGATCTGGAGAGTGCTCGCTACGAGTCGAAAAAATTGCGAACCATGCTACGCGATGCTGAGTCCAGACTCGGCACCGTGGAACGGGATCACGCAGCTGCTCTGATCGAATCACAGACTCACGTAACTCAGCTCCAGACTCAGCTAGATACCGCACAGGAGAAACAACTTGAGACTCAGACCAAGTTATCTGCTGCCGAATCCAGCATAGTTCGCCTTACCCTAGACTTGGACGCCTCACTGACCCGCTTGGCAAGCGTCACCGAAGAGTTGGATGCTAGTCGAGTGGCGTGTTTGGCACTGGAAAAGCGTCTGCACGATAACCATGACAATCAGCAGCGAGTGCGGCGCAACGAGGCCGAAGCAATGCAAACTCATCCAAACAGGTTAGTCTTTGTAAACACATTTATATCTTCCGATCGGAAGTTGTGCACCCCTCATCTTTCAGGTTCCATACCACCCTATCGCCTATGTAGACGAGCTGCGCAGTGATGCGATTTCTCACTAACCACTGTGCCTCTGCGCATTTTATCATCGGTTTTCATCACCAGCGTTCACGTTACATGGAGCGTTTGTGTCGTAGTGCCTCTCAGGTTTTACTATTTGACTCCTTAGTCGACACTTGCAAGCATCCACGTGCGCTAAAGCCACCCCGAATGAAATCGCTTCATGTTTTGTTGATTGACGTGTTTGCTAACAGTTTCCTAGCCCGCTTTCCCGTGTGTGTTTCCCGTTCAATGTCCAATTCTTCTTCAACGTTCATGCAACTGTTCACGGCAGCTACCGTGGAAAGTTCGTTCAAGAAAACAGTGACGTTCTTTGATCAGTTACGTGGGAGCGAATGAGATTGGTCGATCGGAGGACACAAGATATCAGTAACGGTTTTACTGCGATTTGGCTAAACCTATTTCATCTAATCAGTTGTGATCTGCGTATCCGAGTCCACTGGACTCAGCTGCGTCATCCACTGGTTTTTTCGCAAATCGTACACTTTGACCCATTTTCTCTTCCCACTACCGCCCCAGGGCAGTTGATTCCACCGAATGTTAGCACTCAGTGTAGTTTGCAACCGGCCGACGGCTTCCGTGTCTGAGGCGTACGTGCATCGTAGTAGACCGACGGGACTGCAAGCTAAGACAGATACCTCGAAGCAGGCCGGATACTTACAGCACAACCACATGGTAATTATCGGAGCTGGATGAAGCGTGCACCTTCCTTAAATCTCGTGGCAAGCTGGACGGCGATGGATGACTGAGCCTGAGGTGACTGGAATGGTAACGTGCAAAGGCACAGATGGCTACTGTAACGACACTGAAGACGAGACGGGAAGGCAAAGAGAAGAGGAAACGACGATGTACTTGATGACATCCTACCTGTTGGTTTGCTACGGAGACACTCTCTAACGCGCAACATTGTTCCCCCCTCTTATGTAGCCTTGTCCTCAGCTCCTACTGAAGCTCTGAGCGGTGTCCGTCTGCTGCCACACAGAAAGACTGAGGAGCGCTCTGATAGTGTTAGACGATTCTGCTTGTGGGGATGCTAGCAATCACTGCAACGGCCGCAGCCCTGCTTCAGAGACTGGCGTAATGAGCTGGTACGGTAGCCAAATATATGGTATGCGTCCGGTTGTGAGTTCCGAGGAGTTCCGTGTCTGTACGCAGGTCGTATTACACCGAGGAGGTTGAAGTGCGAAACAGATACTTCCTATTCGGCTTGACAGTTTCATTACAACCACCTAGTAAGGGACAGAGCTGAAGGGAGCGTGCGTCTAACACCTGATGACGAACTGAACAGGGTTGTCAAAGCTACCGATGGAGTATCGAGCCTGAGATGGCTGGGACGGTGACGTGAAAAACGATAACGAAGAAATAGGAGGACAAAGAGAAGAGGAAACGGCAATGGACCTCTAGGCTAGATTCGACGACATCTTACCTTTTGCCTTGCTACATTGACACTGTCATCTTTTTTACTTGAACTAAACTGGACCAACGCGTTGTCGATTTTGTTGCCAGCTTTACCTACTTCTGCAAGCACTTCCTAACGGTATGTGTGTCCGTCTTCCCCATGGAAATATTACGAGGACTTGGTTGTTGTGAAGTGCGTTGCCTGCCAAATGACCCGTTATCCACGCGGTCCCGAATTCCGGTGCTTGAATTTTTCCCGACTCTAAAAGTATACACTAGCTTCGGGCGTTATTATCATCTCGGTTTTTTCGTTGGATGAGGTATGATAGAAGTTGACAAGTTGATGAACATCTTCTCATTGATGTCTGGACTTATCGCGCTCAAAATACCTTGACTGTTGGCATTTCTCCTTCCCCTTCTGTCCCCAGCTTTCGCTTTTTTGATGAGGCACGGAGTTGGAAATGCCGGCCTTACATGTCCCTTTTATTCTCCTGTTGTTTGTGTCTCTCACCATCAGGTTCCACTAAAATCGCCCCACCTGGTTTCCATGCATGCGAACTGAATGCTTATTCACGTGCCTTCCGAATCCTCCTCGGTCTGCATTGGCCTACTTGCCCTTTCATACCTCTGCAACGATTTCTGAGCTTGTAGCACGAAGTAACAGACTTGTAAATTTATTCCAGAAAACAACTTTTCGTGTTAGCATATTCGCAATCATTTCGGGCTTATCTAGGCCTGGTCAAATGGGTTACCCACTGATGGTTGTTCATGGGAATCCAACTCTCACACACCTTCGATCTCTCGGTGCGGCATCAGCTTCATCCCACGCGTGCAGCCAACAGCGTGACAAAAGGCCAGATAGAATTAGTTCAATAACTGCGTAAGCGTCAGCCATCTCAGTTTGGGAAAAACAGCGTGCGTGCGAGGGCATCCTGTCAATGTTCGTATCTGGATAGAAGTGCGCTAACGAAACCGAACTGTTCTGACCTGGTTAAATAGTTGTTGTTGGCAGGAGACTGTTGGGTGATGTGGTTACACTGCGCTGGATGGCGCAGCCTCAGCTATCACTTACACTGGTGGCTATAGAAGAAAACTTAGCTATTGGGCTTGTAATAAGTGTATGCGAAATTAGAGAAGATAGCTTCAGGGATTTAGCCTAGGCACTTTTCCTGTTGGCCACCTAGCTGTCTGTATCGACTGAATGTATTCTGTGCGACAGCCGGTGCAGGATAAGATCAGTTTGATGGAATTCCGTGGCTGGATTCGGATTGAGACATTGCCAAAGTGCCCTCGGCTAGACAGACGACACTCATCTAAATCTTTTACCTCAAAAACAGGGCCGCAGGAATCAAGCGCCTTACTAAACAGGCCATCAGCAGTTTGCTGAGTTGTACAGAGAGGCTGCGCCTACTCGACGACTAACCAATAACCCAACATCGTTCAATGGACCAGGTGATACCCAAGCGGTCACCCACTACACTGAAGTTCATTTTCGTCACTATCGCGTTACTGGCGTGTCTCTGACTCGTATCACGTCCCACTGTGTCAGCGTGGCGTTTGTCGGGCTTTGTTTTGCCACAACATAACGGATACCTATCGGTTCTATGCGGAGACTATAATCTCACTTTGGTCGGACTGATCAGCACAGTTGAATTTGCCTACAAGTGCTAACTATTCTCTGGTCACCTTTCCCATGACACCTGAACTGATGTAACCAAACCAGCTCAGAAACCGTTCTGCCTCCAGTTTAGGCATCTATACCATCACCTTAGTAAATAACATGTTGGAGCATGGCGCTACTATAGAGGCATATTTGTTCGTCAAACACCGCGCTGATTTCACAAAATGGGAGTCATCCACTCTCCGGTGCCTAAAGAGTGCTCACTTTTTGTATGTCTCTGCATCAAACGGAGAGGGGAAACGTAGGATTTCAGGCTCCCTGTACGGTCAACTATGGTAGATTCGTAACACCCGAAATAGTATATGCAGCACCAGATGGAGACAACCACCAGTGCGACAGTGCATCCAACAAAAAACGTATGGACCTGGCAATAAATCTAGCCTGGAGATAACACTGCACGCTATGATTTTTGCCCGCCCACTTCCCGTAACTCTGAAAACGTCCATGTGTGTGTGTGTGTGGCCGTTTAACCTTGAACTGTTTTGAAAGGAATTAGGCCGCTAGCCATTCACTTTCGGTCTCCATATGGACACGGTAGCTACGAGTTAGACGTGGGCACTCAGTGTGCTTTCTCTTTCTAGATGTCACTTGGGCGTAGAATCAATGAGGTTGATTGAATCGATCCGGTGAAAAGCCTCAGGAAATGCTTTCCATTCGCCCACCCGTATTGATCTGGCCCGCAGACGGATTTTCTCACTGATCCACCGCCGTTAATCTAAGTGTTTCTTCACTTTTGTGAAACGTGCTAGTTGTTTATGCCACCCCCAAAGTCGGTGCCGATTCCTTTGAATTTTGAAGTTCCCTTTTTGTGCACTCTGCTCCGTATTGTCCCGTCTGATTCCCTATTAATCTGGACGTCTAGAAATTCCAAGGAGTCATCGTTTTCTAGTTCGAGAGTGAACGTTATGTTGTTGTGCGCAGAGTTGAATTGGGCCAGCAGATCCTCAATACACGGCCCATCGTTTGCAATACAAAAGATGTCATCTACATATCGACCATAATAAACCATACTGCTGATGGACTCCTTCAACTGGTTGTTCTTCAATTTGCTCATGAACACGTCCGCGAGTAATGGGCCTAACGGCGAACCCATGTCCACCCAATCTATTTGTCGGTACATTGACCCATTAAACTGAAACTGGATGTTTCTCTGTGCATATCAGCAATAGAATGATTTGCACCCTCTCCGAGTCGTCACCAAGTAGAGTGATGTCATCGGCGTAAGCTATATTGGTTGCTCGCTTACCCTGTTGTAGTTTCAGTCCAAAACGTTGCTAACTCTCTCAAGCTCTCGACGGAACGTCTAAAATCGTATAATTGAAGCGAAACGGGGACATAGAGCAACCCTGCCTCGCACCACTATCTACAGCGAAGGATGAAGGAAGCTTGCCATATATACGGAGACGTTGAGGCACAGTACACCCAGGATCGTAGTATAACTTTCCAGGGCACCGTTTCTTCGGAAGCAGTACCATAGCGCAGGTAGATCAACGGAGTCGAATGCGGCACGGATGTCTAACAATGCAGCGACCGTAGAGATGTCGGTGTTTGAGGATTTCACGAACCGTGAAGATTTTATCCACACTTTTGCGGCTAGGAGATAAGCATACTTGTTCTTCCTGGTACTATGCTTCACTAATTGGGGATTGTCTACGAAGTAGAATGGATGCCAATAGTTTAGAGGTAACCGAAATGAGACTAATCCCCCGGTGATTACCGCATAAAGTGCGAGCCCCAGGAAGATTGCACCCTTGCTTTAATCGAGATTTTGGAGAACAGTGAGTATAGCTGACTGTTGATAATTGCACCGCCATATTTGAACAGCTCCGGAGGAAGTGCGTCTGAGCCGGCAACCTTGAATCGTTTCAAATGCCGAATCGCAAGGCAGACTTCCGCTTCACTGAGGGGATGCACTTTGACCACTCAGGGCCGGCAGCTTGTTTCGGTCGGTGTACAAGTGTACGGTTAGAGCCAGTTAAACTGGGAATGAAAATGTTCTGCCCATCGATCCAAACGTCTCTATAGGCTGGTAATCGGCGAACCATCCTCTCTACAAATTGTCTCACTGACACCATGTTTTCTGTGTCCATTGGAACGAATGGACTGGAAGAGCTTACGAGTGTTTATAAACTGAGCAGCGGCCTCCATTTCCTAAGCACGCTGAGACCACCAGGCTTCACGATCACTGCGTACACTTTGTTTATGCTGTCGACTTACAGAACGGTGCACTTCATTATGATTAGATCCCACTGGGCTATTTCTACTGCTGTCAAGTAGATCCAGGAAACGCCTGGAGATCCAGACCTTTATAAGGTGCTGAGTAAGACCACAGACTGACTGTCCGGAAGCGACTGTAGTCTTATTAATGTTTTGTATGGGGTCGCAGCTTAATGGGTGGGTTTGATAGCTCAGCTGAACCGAGGGAGTAGATAGTTTATTTGTATCCACCTTGTAGTGTTTTTTTCGGTGCCCCTCCGAAACTCGTGCAGGTGTTTGCACAAACACGAGCATGGTCTGAGTCGAGAAATGTGAACCAAATGTATCTGCAATCTTTTATACTACCCCGCTGTCTGACATTGATTGTGATGTGGTCAACCTGAGATCGCGACGGAGTCGCAAACTTGGGTGCCAATAACGGAACCTTTTCCCGAATGTCTAATGCTGGTACCCGAGACTAACAGACGATTGTCTTCACACAGTGTGAGAAGTCTCCTTCCATCATCTGGGCGGTTCACCTAGCGCATAGTGAGGTGACATTCACGTGCTAATAGACGACCAACCCGTGCGTTGAAATCCATCCCCAGCAAGGACAAAATTATGGAATTTGCACGCTTTGCTGGAGAGCTGACTATACTCACGAAAATACTGTCATTGACCGAGTCACAACTGCAATCATTTGAAGAGTACGCTGAGATCACTTACAAATTGCGTCTCTCCTCACCATGTCTGTTGATCCTGCACTATCCCCGAAGCCGAACTGCACAAAGTCGGCTGTTAATCGGGAACCAGTCCATCTGTACAGCCTTGGCTTGGCTAGCTAGTGGTACACGAACGCCAGCCAAGCCTGCTGCAGCTGCTTCTGTGTCACCAGTTAGACGTAGGTGAAACATGGCTGCATGGTCCGTGGGAGATGTCAACTCAATCACGATACTGGGATCTTGCATCTGGATCTCGGAAAGACAGCAAATATCGATGGCGTGGGATTTCATGGTGCGCGCGAGACCAGCCTGTTGCCCGATCTGCATGAGTGTATGTACCTTAAAGCATGCCAGAATGGCTGTATCGAGGCCGAAGGGGGCCACTGGGCGAGCTCTGTGGTCATTAACGAAACCATCGGGAGTAGAATCATGGAAAAGGGCATCAGCTTGTAACGGATGAAAATAATTGCTAACAAGAACGGGCGGCGTGTGAAGATGTGCGGGCAGCAGAAGCAAATACAGTTATGCGCCGCATAACAGAAGAACCATGCATGGTTTTGTAATTGGGCTTGATACTACCCGGTTGACCACGCCGAAGTAGGGAGTTGTCTAAGGGACACTACTCCGAACCTTTGGCTAAGTAGCCTACACGCACAGCTGCGGGGCGAATTCAGGGAACCAGGCCTATTAGCAGCCGGTGCCCCATCACTCAGTTCGTACGCTTTTCGTTGAGTCCGTAGCCAAACCGGGGCTCACTCCTCTCCATGATGTCAGCACATACTTGCTGAAGTGCAATGCTCCACTGAGGTGAAACAAAGGCGATGACTTTATTTAGTGGCGAGTCAAATCCGCTACGTCACGGTGTTGTTGAACGAACCTTTGTTGCCTTTTATAGGGAGGATGCTTGCCAGGCGAAAACGCGCGAAAATCAAAACTGTCTTCTAGAACTTATAACATCTGTGACTTCAGAAAGAAGTTTCCCTCTGTCTGAGAGACCATCATTACAAGACAACGGTGAATGTTTTACAAGATTACTCGTTGTCGAAAGTTTGTATTACCTAGCGAAATGGGGTACACTATGGAGTATATTGTGCGCAGCTTACCAGTTTGCTCTGGTTCCGATTTCTTCACCCACTATGTGACTGCGTCTATTTTCCCTGTTCACTTTGCTATCCCTTGTGCCCGGACCAACACAGGAGGGATATGTACGCACTTCGGGTGAAACTGATCAGAATTCATTTGGGGCGTTTCCATGCTGTTCTCGAATCCATGGGTCGGACTCCGCGAGTCCACGGGTTGTGATACCTAGTCGTCATACACTTCGCTCTGGTAGGATTTGTTCATTTCTTACCCGCTTTGAATAATATCCTGTCACTGCTGCTCTGCTCCTTTGTAGACTTGATCTTTTGGTCGATCTTGTTCCCAGGACGTTGATGCAAATTAACTCTAGGGTTGTCCGACGTGATTCTCATGGTGAGGTGACAGATGAGGATACATGCAGTGTCTCTGTCTCCTCTCTCTCAGGTACGGTTGAGTCACTTTTCCAGCCCGCAACTTCCTCATGCTTCCATTCTACCGATTCATTGTCATCCATATCCTAACCACGGCTGCATATAACTTTTTTCCGTTCTTCTTTTTGGGTGGTACATTCATCCGCGTGCATAGGCTTCTTTTCAGTTTTGAGTTTTGCATTTCACATCTTCTATACACGCTCTCGAATACTGTCATTCGGTCGCTTTTACCTCCACTTTTTTCATCTTTTCCCCCATTGATTACCCTCTTAGCCAAACAACACCTATTATGGCCGAACCTCGCGCTCTGTTCGATGAGACCACTCAGACCGATTCCGAGCCGGCCGTCGAATTCGAACTGCATCCTCCGGACACCGAGCCGTCGATTGCATCCACTACTGCCTCTCTCTCTGATGAACCCGATGACAAGTGCAAGGAACTGGAAGCCCAAGTGGCTCAGTACAAATCTGCGCTGGATATGGCTGAGACCATGTTGTCCAAATTGCAGACCTCAGTGGAGGAGGAGGAGCAACGTTGGCGCGGCGCCTTGGAATCATCCACAGTGGAGTGTGGGTTGGTACGTTTGTGTCTGGTCTGTGTGTCTACATGTATTCGGCTAGTGGTTTGTATGTCGGCCTGTCAACTGTACAGCCGGGCACGCCAATTTTCTCCACATGTAGTCGTCTATTGATAGTAGTCTAGTAATAGTGCTGGCCTGTCACCTGCACGGACGGGTTCGAATCCTGGGCACGTCGGATTCTCATTTCACACCAGGACACCTGTACAAGCTTGTAGTATCGGATTTGAAGCGGGTCGTCCACCAGCTTTGTTTCGAATGAACAGTGATGAATGTATAGCACAACCTGCCGCAGCACGGAGTTGAGACATAGTTAGTTTCGGAACTCCGGAAATTCCTGAACCCAAACACTTTGCCGCTATGAAATATATACAGCACACTAGCCATCATATGTTTGCAACAGTCTACGAATAGACAACGAGCCATCAGAAACCATAGAACTCCAAAGAAGATACAGCAATAGTAAAAGAAAACACAACACAACACATTAAAGTCCATGGTTTCGTCAGATGGCGAGATACTACCCGGTTGCCCAAGCCGAAGTAGAGTGTTGACTTAGGGGACACCACCCCGAGCCTTTGGCCGAATAGCCTGCCCGCAAGGCCACGGAGCGAATTCAGGGAATCGCGCCCATTGGGATCCGGTGACTGGTTGCTCAGTTCATACGCCTTTCGTTTGTTCCTTTGTCAAACAGGTGCCCAATGCTCCCCAAAATTACAGCACAAATTTGCTGGAATACAATGCTTCGCCAGGATGACGCAAAGGGCAGTGACTTTATTTAGTGGGGAGTCACGTCCGCCACGTCACATTGTTGTTAAACGGACATTTGTGGCTTTTTATAGGGAGAACACTTACCAGGCGAAAACCCACCACGTCCTGGAACACTGCCGCCGAGCCATTTGCTGGAACGGGAAAATCCCGAACCACCCAGCTGGCACCACGAGGTGGTTGTTCTGCAATCCAGCCAACATAACAGAGCTTTCTATTTGAGGGGTTTTAGATGCAGCTACACAGAGCTGTCTATTTCTGCTGCTTCTAACCAGTATTCAGTTTTCTAGCCTGCTGCGATACTGCATTGCTCCATTGTAATTTCGATAACCTATCGAACGCATCTGGGTACTTTTCTAAAGACCTAAGGACACACATAAGTATTTGAGCGCGGTTAACTCTCAACTGATTCTACACTAAACCACGCTCCACATGGGGCCGAGATAGGGGTTCATCAAATCGATGTCTGACATTCTTCATGCCCGATTGCGCGTTCCGATCAGTGCACCTACAAAAACTTTCACATTGATTTGCGGTACTACGTTCTCATCTACAATGGGAGGCACTTATGTTTACGGGCGAATGACTGTCCTTAAGGACTAGTTACGCTGCCTGTGGATTGAGTATTCTTGGAACGGTAACGTTATCCAGTCAATCATTAGCTTTCATCTAATCTGTAGTACCGTTGCCTTCGAACGGTTCGCACTGATTTCCTTGACCCCATTCTTGCCACAAGCGACCATCACATCACCATGAGGTCTCATAGCTGTTCTCTTGTAGGATGCTACTGTATCTACAACTCAGTCACTGAAGGAATCGAATTTTTGGCCAGCATGATGCCTATCGATCCAAGCTCTCCGGATCGATCAGTTGCGTGTAGACCAGCGAGGCACTGGTTTCCAGTTAGTTACTTAGGAAGGATACTTCCTGACGCACAGATTACCCCCAACTCATGAACAGCATCGCTATGAAGAACAAGTTGGTTCCCACACCACTCGAGGGTGCGTGGATCCCAACTTCACTCTCCGTCTCCTCGAACGTTGCTGCATCTCCTAAATGGACCTGTCATGTTTTCCTTTCTAGGTCTTCTAGCTGCATTTCTGTTTCGCTTGACCGACATATTCTAGAGCGTTGCTTCCTACACATTGTGGGGTCCTCGAAAGTTGTACTGCCTTTTTCCTAGCTCTTTATTTCCATGCTTTACATACAGTTAGGACTTACGGCAGTTTTCTTCAACTGTTCACTCTCAATGTGTATTGGACATAGTCCTACCGAGTATTCTAGGATATCTCCAAAACTTCCTCTCAGTGTTTTCCCCAGATGAGTGAACGGCCGATTTAGATCGTGCTGTCGTCGCTTTACATCTGACGATCACCATGGCTGTCAACTTATTCTGAATCGTTTATGACCTAAGCACCTAGACATAATATAAATAAACAAATAAATAACATGTTTATTCTCGACTACGCGAGGCACACCTACCCAGGCATGATCATGGTAAGAGTGCAAAAATGTGCTCAGTTGATGTACAATGGAACAATAGGGCTGTTGAAGCCATAGGGGATAAGCTAAGTCCCGCAAATCTGGAACGGATTTGGATCCACGCCGTTGAACTTTCTCGAACATGTCACTTTCGGACTTGGTGAGAGGATAAACAGCAGATGATCCGTAGCCCGGAAGTGAGCGCACATGTGAAGTAGACAGTAGGTTGAAGCATGCTGGTATAAGCCGTGAGAAGGCTCTTCGTGTAGCGTGAAGAATTCTGTAGGCGTGCACGTTGAACTTCAAGTTCAGTTGGGAACGGACTGATAGGTTACTCCCGTGAATGTCCCTTCGTTTCTTATTTTGGAATGAGGACGTGCTGGGTCTGCTTAATATGTTGAAAAGCCTAAAAGAACGACCGCCTCACACCCTGCCTAACCAATTACTGCAAACATGTTGCTGCCCAGCAGTCACCTGGTAGCACAATCGTAGCAACAAATGTAGCAAACTGGACAGAAACGGGAGAAAAGTCCAGTTCGTTAATAAAGGATTAGTCGCAGAAATACGCTTTTATTTTTGCATTTGTTACTAAACAAAGCATCGGTATACACTTTAGGTGATATTGATTGACCATAACACTTACGGTTTGATTGCATTGCTAGGTCAGTTTATTTGCACAATTACGCCTTGTAACGCTAGTCGCTACTGCTGCTTTGTTTTGCGCTAATGTTTAGCGCAGTTGTTACTGCGTTTCTGTATTCACACACACCAGGTTTTCCATTTCCAGCTAAATAAATAGATAAATGTTTTATTATCGACAAAGCGTGGCACACCTTTTGGGCATGATCAGCATATTGCAATATTGTACATGATAGCATGATTAGCAGCACCAAGCGCGGGAGTAGTACAGTTGGAGACAGTAGTGTGGGCCCATATGGCCCAAAGGTTGTACGAAGTCTATGTCCACAGAATGCGAGATGTAGAGATAAGAATCAGATCACTAATGTGGAGTATGTTGATGAGGAACTAGTCCGATGAGGTTGTGTACACAGTGTGGGTCAGGTGAGTGAAGCATGAGGAAAAAGCTGCAAAAATATTTAAGAATAGTGGCATGTCGCTAATGAAATATGTAGGCGTGTTCGTACGAGTGCAGATACATGCACAGAATTTGTAAATGTGGTATCGGTCAACTTGCCAAGGCGTGTTAGGGGCGGTGACTTTTTTGAGTGGCGAGTCACATCCGCCACGTCGCAGTGTTGTTAAAAAGACATTTGTGGCTGTTTGTAGGGAAAACGCTTGCCAGCCGAAGATACACCACGTCCTGGAACACTGCCGACTAGTGATATGATTTTGAAAAGATTGCATCTGACCGATTACACTCGCGGATATTTGCAGTCACGTTTCGTCAGTTTGTTTCCCATGGTTGTGTAGTCTTCTTCGGAGTCGACCGCAAGTGGTTAGAGCTGTCGAAGTCGGACGACTCAGGTGAGTTGTATTGATTTGGTTAGTTTTCTGGGTTCCTTTAGTGTGTCAGGTTTGCAAAGTGTGGGTGATTTCGTTGTTCTGTATTGATTCCGTGTTCATATGATAGTCGCAGGTATGTCGTAAGAGGTGTTCCGTGCAGGTATTTTTATCCATTAGAACAAGGGAGAGAAGGAAAACGGACGGAGCAAACTGCCAAAGAAATTAAACAGAACTATGTTAATGTATAAATATAATAATTGTGGTAACGTTATGCTGGTTGAAGGCCATGGAATGACCGAATATGTTGTACATCCTATCCGTAGTTTTGCGTGCAAGCACGAAACCCGGTAGTTGTTGAATTTGAGAGAAAAATGCTGTCCGAATTGGTCTAGCGTACGCAAAAGTTGTCCTGTGTGGAAATCGTGAGTATCAGGTGTTGTTAACCGGTACATGAGTTGAGGGAATCAGAACATAGTGAGTGGGTTAATATGCGCTTAAGATATAGGTTGAGCGATCGGTTGACAGTGGTAGAGCTTATCGTTCGAACATGTATGAGAGCCAGTGGAGTTACTACGCCTGGTTTGAGACCTATGAAAATAATAACGGAACATTTTCAGTAATCAGATGCTAGAGAAACAGCTGGGTGAAGTGGTGAGATGGAGTGTCAAAGTTGTGACGAGAATGGGATTTATAAACTGCCGCTCTAGCGAGAATACGATTGCCAAGCCAGCCCTAAAGGGACCTGGAATAGCGGATAAAGATAGGGCCTTCTACAGTGTGGAAACCAAGTCAAATGGACGACAGGAAAAGGCGATACTGGGAGTCCGGTTAATTATGAGGAAGAAACCGTCCGCTGCTAGGCGTTCAACGATAGCAAAGGAGCGAGAAGGGCCTGAATACTACGGCTTTAGCGAGAAAATGGTTATACAGCCAGCGCTGAAAGGGACCAGGAATATCAGTAGTGTGAGCAACAGCCCCAAAAGATGCTAGGTGTGCTACTATAAGGTGGACATCCACGGTGGAACGTTCAAGTCAAATAGACTGCCAGTTATAACTCACTAATTGGTGAGTTGCTGGCAGCCTGATAAATTAATATACAGGAGCGGCACGCTTTATTAGGCTCCCCCTAGACTGGCAAATGTAGGGTTGAATACAAGTAGTAGCCAAGAAGAATGCGTTCCAAGGAGCGGCATAGTGAAGTGAGTGGAAAACTTCCCCATTCGTGTGTTGGAGAGGATTAAAAGCATTGTAGATTGGGCTAACATGATGCCGAATTTCGGGAAGCTCGAATGATAGCTTCACAACATTGGGGGCATTACCGGGAATGCTATCTAA